CTCACACGCACTCTCTCTCTCTCTCTCTCTCTCTCTCACACACACACACACAGCCAGCTGAACTCAGTAATTTGTGCTAGCATGCATTTTTGCTGACGTGAGACACTCATCACCGTCACAGAACAGAGCATTTCATGCATTATCCTGTTTCCTACCACAGGTTAGTCAGCAGGTTCGAGGTGGAAAAAGGCTAAATCTAAGCAAAGGCAGTAATAATCCTACAGTGTTCAGGGCCTATGTGGCCTATAAGGGACACAAAGTCTGCAATGATGCCCATCAAGACTTTATACCCAAAACAAAAACCAACATTAGCAGCCGCAATAAATATAACGACACTTGCACTTGCATCTTTACTCATGGACCATGCCAGGACCATCCACGTTTCCAAAGTCTAAACCATCTGATTGTATAAATAGAGGAAATTCTGATTAACACAGGAGGATCTCATTCACCTGCTCTGGGACAAATGCTTTTTATGAAACATCAGCCAGTAGTTGAAGGGGACTCAAGAAGAGGCTGCAGGTCTCACAGGTCTTCTGAAAATGCAACAGGAAGCCATGTATCTTATAAATCATTCATTCCATGGGGCCCCCCGACCGAAGAAGTCTGAAGTGTTTCTACTGAGGTAGCTACCCTAAGTGGTGCAAGTACAGCCGTGAGGACCTGAGCATGAAGTTAGTGGAGTTTCATTTCCAACCAAGATTATATTATGTCTCTTCCTCTACGATATTATGACTTAAAATAAGGCCTGTCCCACCCCCCCACCTATCTGACTTCTAGTAAACTCAGACAGATGGGCGGAGCCTCAGACTGACTGTGACGTCTACGCCGGCCGGTGTCGTGTGAGCTGAGGTTATTTATTCTGCTCTGACATTCCCCATGAATCACTGCACTGCATTTAAGGAGACGACGAATGTGTCACATTTCAATTTCTTTAATCCTCCAATGTGGCAACTAATCCTACACTCCCTGTTTGTTTATCATTGCCTGATCAGCTGCAGAGTATAACACCTCCTAATGGTCACAGGACATGCCAATAACCAGCCATAAACTGGACACTGGCCAGGTGGTTCCAATGATAATGAACTCCCGGTTCCTGCATCAACGTATGTGAGAACCTCTGCTGTCACTGGATCACTTCTGTAATGACTATGGTCTCATTAGCCTACCAGCTCCGGGGCTTAGAAGTTGGCCATGTACTCTGAATGAGTACTGAACGGTCACAAGGACGTTCCGTGACTCTATCCTGTTGCTTTCCTCCGGCTATGCAGACACCCCACGGAGGCTCTCCCGGGCCCCCAGAGGAGCCAACTGCAGGAGCTAAGGGACAGTGCGAAACTCCGGCAGGCATCTGCGCTACACCAAGGTTAAACACAACCATAGTGGCCCCAGCGACACTGGAGAATGTGAAATGAGAGGAATGTTCGACAAGGGCAGGTCCTTTCTTGTTCTCTTCCATCTTTCATAACAACTCCGCAGTTGTAGCGATGTGTGAGGTATCTTCCAATCTTTAGCTCTGCAAAAGAAACCTGTCGAGCTTCTTGGGAAAACATCATCAATCTGTCATTGTCGTCACCCCTCCACACTCTCTTCAGAGCACACCACACAGTCATGGCGGCCAGGCTGAAGATGGGCCATATACAGGGCAGGCATTGCAAAAAAAAAAAAAAAAAAAAAAACATGCGCGTGGGTAACATGGGATGCGCCAATGCCTTCAAAGAGAAACGGGGGAGCCCTCAGTAAATAAATAAACACTGCCAGCTCACTGCTTTGTTTGGGAGGCAGGGAATACTGTTATTAACCACTGAAAATAAGATGAGCAGCAAAATGGCACACAGTAGCCCTGATGGCCGCACAGAACAGGGACTGAAAGCTCCCTGTGCAGCTGCAGTGACCCCACCCATCTGCCGGCTTCCAACAAGCCTCGTATTCCAGTCCGCCGTACATGACGAGCCGGCCGAAGCCAAAGCGTGGCTTTCTGCCCACACTGCTGCAGCCATTAACAACGTGTGGCTGGGATTGGTGGGGTGGGGAGGGTCTGTATAGAGGCAATCAGTATTGTGACTCATTCTTTCTGCCATGGCTCCCTCATAACAGCATTAAAGACAAACCTAATCGTTTCAGACGGTGTTCAGGCGACAGGCACCATTTCTTCTTCCCCTTAAATGCTCACTTGCCTGAGGTCAAGGGGGTTAACAAAAGTCACAGAACATGCCTTGGTAGAATTTATAACACTGTTAAATAATAGGAATAATAGCAAACATGAATGGCATGTAAAGTCAACCAGAGCAGCCCAGCATGCCACGTTTCATGCAGAAGGTGTTGGCTCAGAGTGACTTTCCTCGCAGAATAGACTGGTGCGTTCCCCACCCCATGGTTATGAAAGAAATATCTTCTGGGAGACTACACTGCCGCTGGCCAGACCGGTTCCCAGATATGAACCCAAAGAGCAAGTCACTCGCACTCACATCTCAGGAAAGCACATCCTTTTATATCTTCCCCATTCCCTGACACCACCCTCCCCTCGCCCTCCCCGTCCTGAATTTCCCACACAGCTTCTGTTGGGTTTAGCTGAAGCTGGGAAGGTTCATCAATACTAGTGAACAGCTACAAGTTTCATGTTAGGAGAAAGTGGGGGAGCCATACAGTAATGTACTTTATGGTTAAATAGAGTAAATAGGGGTGTCTCCTATAGCCACTTCTTCAAAAGGTACCACCTATCCTTTCTTAAACTGCTTAAGATTCACTGCAGCAGCAGAAACACGTTCATTTTCATTACAGACGTAAACAGCATGAGAGAAACACCAAGAGGGATCAGAACTAAACCTGAGTATTTTGCCCACGTGATCATGCCTTTGGACCAAAGAAAGGACAGGCAGTCCTTACTGAAAATTGTGTTTAGTGCACTCAATATTTAGCTGTTGGTGTTGTGCGGCATCTTGGTGAAAAGACGAAAAAACGAAACCGAGGTGCAAGATGCTGCTCTGTGTAGGGCACGTGTAAATAACAGGGGAGGGGGGTAAAATATTAATGACAGCTGAAGGTTGGCAAAAAGGTCGCAATCTGAGCTGAGCCGCCAAGACGACGGCGGTGGGCTACCTGTTGTTACGACCATAGGCACGGAAACGGGCGATCAAGCGTTTACAGCCAGGGAAGAAGCTGCATTCTTTACAACAGGAAAGGAAAGCTGCCTACATTAAGTCTCTATAAATGCATCAGTTCTAAAATGATGGATTACGTATATGCATATTATATATATATATATATACACATACATATACATACACACACATCTATACACCGCCTATAAGCGCCCCCCCCCGGTGTATCCCTTCTATGAGCGCTGCAGAGACGCCACGCAGTAACGCCAAAGCCTATTAAGCATGCCGGAGCAGCAAATGCACAGATACCGACAGCAATCGCATTAAACGCTCAAGTCATTCTGGCTAAATGGTGCACAGCTACACAGCTTGTTAGTATTTTTATGGGGGAGGGCGGGAAGGATGTTAAGTAGTTTATACCGAAAAATAACAAGCAAACATCAACGCTTCTACCAGAACCAAAGATCTCAGAAACAGATAATTTGAGAGGCACGATGAGAACCACTTAACATGGGATCAAACTGACCTCAAAAACTAGCTTTATATTATAGATCCTACGATTGCGTTCGAGTATTTACATTTATTAATGACCCCGAGTAACCCCGGCGCCAGTTTCCTAGCAACATCGCCGCATGGTCATTAGATGCCTCGGTGCTGCTCTCCCTCACATTCGGGTACCACACAGAGACCATCACCTACTCACCGAAAAATGTCAAACTTCGTCCGTCCCTCTCGTGTGTCGGCTTTGCTTGGCTTTTTGAAGATGATTGCCCGTAAAATCCCGTTAGCCCCGATGCGCCAAAACCCCGAGCCCACCACCTGAAACGAAGCCTCGGGAGCGAAATGCGAAGAAGCCCGGGACGCGAATCCTGGTGGGTTTCCTCTTCCGTGTTTTGCCGCCGTCCGTCTCGGTGCTCGCGTTCACACGAAAGAAGCATCGGGGCTGGGCGCCCGAGGAATACCTTCAGATCCGACGAAGACCATCGGGCCACTTCGCCTTCGCCTAAAACGCGAGGATCTTCATGCTGGCCTCCCGCAATTCTGCGCGGAGTACTCTGCGATCAGCGGGCTATCAAGCTGAACGATTTCTCGGGGAAAATGGCCATAAATGCAATTTTGCCCTTGACTTTGAGATCCCCGCGACGTATAGCCTGCCTATGCCGGCTGCCAGATGCACTTCAATGTCTTAAAGCGCTTCTCTAGCGGCGGGTTTTGTTACGTTACTAGCCAGCTAGGAAAAGGGTGAAGGTGGGAGGGCTCTCCCTACCTTATTTAAAAGGAAAAAAAAGGCTGAATCGAGTCGCCCCAATCTGGCTCGCAGCGCAAATAAGACTGCTCCCAGACGATTTACGTTTGTCCCAGGCCGGGGCGAATGCGCCGCCTATCGGCCAGAGCGTGCAATCGACGTTTTGCCGGACTGCCGTCTCGCCGCACACAGGAGTGCCTCGAATTCTTGAGCATTACATTAAAATGGAATGAGAGTGTGCCTTTCTGTGGCTCTGTAATAAATATTCGTTTCGTTTTTAAATTTCGAAAGGCACGAACGTCTGCTTGAGCAATACAGACCAAAATGGAAAAGGGCAATGAGTCATGCTGTCTAAACCGCATACACGTCTTTAGGTACATGCGACTGATTTAGACGTAGCGCACTGAAATGGTTTATTAAAAGGAAAAATGTTCACGAACGGTGTTCACAAACCTTCGGGAAAATTAACCAAATGATGTGGAAGTTTTTCAACAATATAGAAAATGTTACATTCTGTATTTAAAAGCAACGCCAACAGAATAAATTTCCGCTCATCAGCGTAACGGAATTTGTTTTAAAAACGGCCTCATTTATAGTTAACGCTTCTGCGCGTGAAGGTCGTCGATATCTGCGGAAAAACTCCACAGTTCAAATAAACTCGTGTCGTAAAACATTTAATGAGAATGTGTACTGCAGAGCACAAGACAAACATTTTAGGTGATTAATTCAAAAGCAAGGAAATGCCACCAATTTGAAATTTTTGGTTCAAGTGGATTTGGCGGAAAAAGGTTTTGCTTCTCCCACCAGCAGGAGAAGGAACAGTAAGTGAACGGTTCAAGGTTACATTGCAGTCAGTGTATTTCTCCATTTAAACAATGGCAAATCACATAAACCTAAAAAACATTATAAACACTCGTGTACAATGACGTTAAGTTAAAAAAAAGCTCAGATACAAACAAAACATTGCCAGCATATACAAACTTGTTAAAAACACGGAATAAAGCAAGTTGAATTTCAAAGCACGTTCCAAGTATCTAAGTAATGTAAACGCTCAAACCCAGCTAAAAACAAATTTCCTGCGAGGTGGAAAGGTCGGTTTGTGCAGCACCAATTTTGCTTTATTTTAAAGCATACTTTTTCAAACCTTCATTTTGAATGCCAGTAAATAAAACACAAATGACGATGGAATGAACACGTTATAAAAATAAAATCTCACAAACATGTATTTAAATATGAAGGCTTTGCTCAACGCTACTGGAAGAGTTATAAGATGATGTAAAACAGTGGAGGATTCCATTTTAAAATGACCATAGCAAAACTGGATATCAGTGCCCTATATGAATCAGTATTGCCCATTTATATTGGTAAACAAGTGCAAAAAACCAGTTTACCCAAATATGGCATTTGTTGCAATTATATATAGTAATCACTTTTCATGAGATATATACAAAGGTAAATATTATATAAACATTAACTTCCTAAAAAATATACTTTAAAATCATTGATATACCTCATTTTATATGACAAGCCATACAAAATATATATGGTACAGTAATAAAAGTAGAAAATATTGTACAGACATGTACAAGATTATTTTTGTACAGCTTAAGTCAACTACCTGACTGTAATGTATCAAAGGTGCGATAAATCTAAAAGACAGCCAAGAGAGAAAATTATATATTGCTGGAGCTTCTCAACACATGGAATCTCTTCAAGGTCATTCGGATGGACCCTAGGTCCTGGTTGATTTTCTCCAAACGCTCTTCCAAAGCCTCCTGAAGGATAACAACTGAGGTTAATTAAATTAAGACATAAATCTACATTCATTTAGCATGTATATTTAAGACGATCGAAATAAGGTAATTTACTATATCAAAATATTTTTATACCTATTTTATGCCACAGAAATTAGCATAATGGATGAGCAATTAATATGATTAGCAAAATGGGTAGGTAACTGTATGAATCATCATAAAAGTAGTATCTTATAAACTAAAAGAGTCTGATTATTACCCAGCAGATATAAAGAGTCACTGCCACATCCTTACATATTATAAGATGGTGTTTCACATCATGTAGTTTACATAAACAAATACAAATAGCAAACTCTGATTAAAACAGACACTGATGCTCAAGGGTGGGCGATATTACATATCACTGTAATCCTTTGTAAACTTTTTTTCTGTTGAATCCAGTAGATGCTGTGCTATTTTAAGAATCTGCCTTCATTCCATTCTCTGAGTTATACAAATATTGACATAAAGACTCACTCCTACAATAAATCATATCATATATTATCATTATGATTATTATTATGCTAAATCACAGCCCCTATGAGTTGCGCATCCTTAACTCATCTAATGGTGGGGTTCGTACCTCATCCAGCTTGGCTTGCAAGGTGACGCGCCCCCCAGTGGCCGGGATACGGCTCAGCGCCGCCTCGATCTGCCACAAGAGGAGAGAAGAGGGCAAAGAAAGGAACAGATAGATAAACAAGCAAACAAATAAATAAATAATGAACACAAGCCAAATATAGTCCCAGAGCATGCCTGCTGCCCCTTTTAAAACACAGCTCGCGCTTCCCAAAATAGACACCATTGCTGTGATGGAGGAGACACCAAGTGTCATAACGAGGTGGAGCTGGGCCTCATGGTTCTCTGACATTTTCCTGGACTGAGTTCCACCCCTCCCTAACCTTTACCAGTGTCCCCTTCCTCTTCATTTCATATGCAAACCAAAAGTGTGTAACTCCTCTCACAGGGAATTACAGGCACCTGTGCATCACACTCATCAATCAAGGGCAAAGGTGTACAAAACAGGTTATAATCCTACACAACAAGCTGATTTAAAATTACTTATTTAAACATCAAGATCTGTCTTCAAAAGTCAATCATGCTACGACTTTCTGAAACAGGCAACTGTCTGAACTGACAGTGAGCAACAGGTGTCTGTAATCCTCCAGAAATAAAGGTCACTTTGGGGGGTCTTGCTAAACCAGGAGGGTGGGGCTCTCTGGGACTGGGGCTGAACATGTAGAGCTCCACCATCTCATGGTGCTCCTCAGCTCTGCAGAGCTGCTTGGCCCAGAGTGGCACAAACAGGGGGAGGAGCTCTGCTATAATGACACTTTAGCATTTGCATGCAAACCCACCTGCTGCTTCTCCTGAGTGAGCTCGTCAAACAGGCGCTCTGTATCAGCCAATGACTGCAGCCTGCCGTGGTACGAGGGGAGTGTGTCACAAGGACCCAATATTGCATCCTCTTCGTTTCCCTCAGCACCCTGCATCTCCCAGGACACTCGCAGGGCACCCTCTGATGGCTCTGTGTGACTATCTGATTCCAGTCCACCATTACTGGACTGGGTGAGTTCTGTAGGGGTATTCACAATCATAAGGCTACAGATAAATCAACAGAACAGTATATGGCAAATATAATTCACTACATATTGCACTATAAAGTCCCCACAATACACTGCTAACTGGCGTACAGAGCATTCTGCACTGAGACAAGACCAAAACACTCAAGTATTCAGTAACCAATAGAAAAAACAGGTGCTGTAGCACTGAGGCTACATGGCAAGTATTCATCAACGAACATCAGCACCTTTGCATCCATGGCACACTCACCTTCAGCTTGTTCAGATGATGTAAACTGGAGTCTCCTTTTGGATCTAGACCCAAGAGAGGGTGACAATGGCAGCGGGGCACTTTGATCGAATCTGTCGCAGCTGAAAAACAGACAATGCACCCCAGGATCAAGCGGACACATTAGGACGGAATTCTCAACAGTAATCCTAATTAAGTGCATTCAACTGAATTAATCATATGATTCAAGTCACACTGTACCATAGTCGGGGACTCAGTCTATTTTAGGTTCATTTAGTTCAGTAATACTTGGACTGATGAATACAAATAAAGCTTTGTCTCATTTTGACTTTTAAAAAATTTCACTCATTCTTTTAACCAATTTACAAGGACACCAACTACATACATTCGGTAGCAAAAAAACAAAAAAAAACAAATATTCTATAAGTTTTAATACTGCTATACACTAATGAACAATAACAGCACAAATACACCTGTAACAGGACCAATAATAATGGTTTAACACAGAAATGACAAAAACCATAAAATTATAAACTATTTAAAAAAATGTACTGAATGGCTCACGCAGTTCAAATCAAGATAGCATTCAATCTAACGTGATTCAAGCTGCGCAATTCATTCAGATCAACAGCTCAATCACTGCTAATTAATTAAGAGCTCAGCTGGAATAAAAATTAGGGTAGTGTCTGTTAGAACCGATGTTGGGAACCAAGTCAGAGACCAGGGTAATGAACAAGTGAAGCTGTACAAATAGTTATGCTTAACTCATCCTTGTACGCCATTAAGTGTTATATTGACGTAGCAGACCTGCACTCTCGTGACCAAACGCAACTCTGACAAAGAGTTGAGTTCTGAGGCTGATGTATGAGGTTTCCTCCTTTGAGGGTTGTGGGGATGGATGGATGGATGGATGGGTGGATGGATGGATGGATGAAGGTACTGTGCTGCCAGTTACCGAGGGTTACTTCGATACAGCAAGGGAGGAGAATGGCCGAAGGCAGTGGAGAAGTTCTCTGTGGGACAGCGTTTTGGGCTGGATTTCACCGAAACAGGCATGAGAAGGGTCTCTCTCCTGGCTGCTGAAGACAATCAGAAAAAACCCCAAACATCTGACATTTAATTAATCCTATTGTTTTAATTAAAGTCTGAAAAAACTACTGTGGTGATAATTAAGATAAGATGAACTTTACTGATCCAAATGGGAAATTTTGGATATATAATATTTGTATCCTTACAAAAGCTTCACATACAGTATATTGCTCCAATTCTGCATTCAGGTTATGGTCAGATGGTTATCATCCGCATTGGAAAACATACAAACATGGAGGCAGCTTTACTCAAAGACATTTCATAAACTGTAAAGCTGTGGAGGAAGCAAGAGAAACAGAGAAACATGTCCACCTGCCACGGAAGCCTGACTGCCCCTGGGGGGTAGGGAGGAGGAGCGGGGGCCATCTGGGGAGAGGCTCCTCTGGGCCCTGGGGATGACTGTGGCCCGCTCTGATATGGGCTCCCGCCGGTCACTGTCCACAAAGCTCACTGTGGGCCGGCGACTCCCCAGTCCTGTAAAATAAGTCAATATATATATATATATATATATATATATACATGCAGTCTAAGGGCTGGTTTATACTCTATGCATGCAACGCCTGCTGCTGCTACGCAAACAGTGCTACTGCTCATACTTGGACGCGTAGTTTACGTCAATCTGGCGGATTAATGGTCATGTCCACTGGAGTGCAGCGTGAGAAATCCATCTTTGTTGGCTCCTTCCTTTCTGAAATGAAGCTGTACACTCACTGCCTCCACAGTGAGTTGCTAACTTTGTAATACTGCTGCCGCATTCTCTATATTCTACCCAGTGCTTCATGTCACATTAGTACTTCACTCTGCCACATATCACTTAATACCTTATGCTTAATGTTGCATTATATGATGTTAGATATCTCGTAGTAGTTAGGATTCTGTGCTTAGTACTTCAATATTAGGGGAAAAAAACATTTTTGCGATAAATATTGTAATACTGACAAAGCAAAGAAAAAAATGTATCAATCTCTCACAGACACATCTGAGAGTGATTTAAACAGCAAGGATGAAAATGATTATGCATGCAGAAGTCATGCAAAAGTAATGGTGGTAAACTTGATAAACATATACTAGATACTCTTAAAAAGGAAAGGTCATTAAAATTGCAAAGTTTGCTAAGTTTTGTTCTCTTGCCTCAGTTTTGATCTTCCAGCTGCACATTCTTTAAAAAAAAAATAAAAAATTAAATCAGATGCTCCTTTAATACCAATTGTACCCTATATAACACATTGTCCTGTAACAAAAGTTGACCATACCACCCCCAAGATTTTTGGTGGTACTGCATCTCGTGTAAACGTAGGGTTAATTCAGCACATAAGTGCACAGACGATGTATGGAATCAGCGCAGAAAATGCACAGCGGTCATGATGCGGATGCGTTGTGAGCATGAAGTATAAACTGACCCTAAAGCACGGTGGCCATGAAGTGCAAAACACACACAAAAAAAACATACAAAACACAAAACAGCTCATTTTTATCTGGGGCTGTATTTAACTTTTCAGAATGGAAGCTCTCTAGGCCATAGGGGAGGGTACATGTGGCAATTAACCTAGCTAAGCCTAGTTAACCATTGTTTGTTTATCATGCAGCATAGCTAAGCCTAACATTTACAAAGAACTGAGCAAATTAAATGGATAAATTTGACTAGAAGGCTGGCCTATACTGTGAGTTTGGAGAATAACATTTGCTGTGAGTTCTGACATTTGAATCGGTTGATTGGAGCCTCATTTTGGTTACTTTCATGAGATGTGATCTGTGGTCTGTCCAGGTATAACGGATATGGGATGCGAATGGGAACAGGACTCCCCACCTGACCACAAAGTTCTCTGCTAGGCTACCCAGCAATTTTAGATGTATCAGTCGCATCGACTTTAGAATTAGGATCGATGGCAGCAACAAACATAAAAGCCAATCACTATCTGATAAAATAAGTCCTTTACTGAGCCTGATGTATACTGCCCCCCTGTGGCCTGGAGCACATCTGTTGTTGTAAAGGGCAATCGACCCCTTAAAAGCAAAAGGCAACACATTAAGTAGAAAAAAGCAACTGTGGGCTGAGGAACCATGTTTTCCTACTGTAATTAATTTAGCATTTTAGGGCCAATGTACTACGAAGGTAGATCCTATTTACGTATTTAAGTCCTCTTCAGTGCAGGATATCAGTGGTTTGTCCAACACTAGGGCTAACCGGTAATGTGACGTTTACGTTTTTGTTCTCTACACACCCCGTTTGCATTAGTGTGTGCATGATGACCTGCTAACCCAACAGAATCTGACTCTATGTGCTATGCTAATACTGTGCCTTTTTTCTTTTTAAACAAAAAGCAGCAGTGTCCACCACACAATAACATCACCAGGGTTACCCATAAAAAGAAGGAGCAGGAGGATTAAGATTAAGATAGAAGGCAGCATGCCGAGGAGATACACATACCTATGTGACCAGGAGCGGAGCCAGCAGAGTCTGCCTTGGCCTCATCTATCTGGATCAGTGCTCGTATGACTGGGGTTGGGGCAGGGTCCTTCTTTGCAGGATCCTTGGCTGGGGGCCGGTCCTGGGGGCCCACCCTCTGTGGGGGAGACTGGGCCCCTGTGGAACCGTGAAGGGCGTCCCTAGAGAGCACAAGCAGGACAGGTAAAAAACCATTAAGTGAACCAACTGTTTTATCAAAGTATGAAATCAAACCGCTTTAAATTTCTACATCCCCTGAAGAAACTGCTTGGCTTACAGAAATTGTGAACCATCCATCCATCAATAGCCAATTATAATATTGGCTTATTCACAATAAGCCAAGAGCGTATTCCAGGAAAGACAGGCACACAGCTGGGGAACACCATGGACAGGATACCATTGCATCACAAATCACACACATATACACACACATTAGTTTAGACACTGATTTATCTAAACCATATACTTAGAAACCTGCCAGATCATGTTACCTGAAGACAAAGACCCCACAGCAATGAGTGAATCAGATACCTGTCCCTGTCACTTTGCTCTGAGGACTGCTCTACACGGCTGCTCTCTGTGTTGGCGGCGCCATTTCTCGGAGAGACGAGGAGGTCTGGATGGTGGTAAAACCTGCTGGACGGATGAGTTGAGCCTGTTAACAATGCAAGCTGTTCTACACTGGGCATTGTGCTCTATGCATCATCAACCCCATGGTGTCTTGGCACTAGTCACTGCATAATGAAATACATGGCTTACTGTACATTTAACCATTAACAGCTACGCAAAGCCAATAGAAATGGCAATCTGAGAAAATGCATTCATGCATAAAAGTTGTGGATAAACTACGGACTCCTTTCAAAATCAGTGATGACTAATTTATGTGATTTATAAACATGAATTTATAAAATTAACACAATGAGATTTAAGAGTAAGTGTGAGTTTAACCACATTCATCAGTGACCTGTGCTGCTATTTGATTATAATCTGGGAAACGCAGGTGAATGGTTGACAACATGGAGCTTAATGAATAGACACACTAAAAATGTATCTTAACCAAAGACAAAAATGCAAATATTCCTATAGAAGCAATATTAAATGCATATTTGAGCAAGACACCTTATCATACATCAAGTACGCTATACTTTCCACTAAAATGAAGTACGCTAAAATGTAGAGCTGGGCGGTATAAGCAAAAATTTATATCACTGTATTTTTCAAAGTTATATTGGTTTCACGGTATATGGCGGTATTTTTTTTTTTTTGGAAGTATGACTGGGCGTTTACCACATTTTACAGGACACATTTTTGTTTTACGTTTTTGTATTGTTCCCACATTGACTATATTAGACAGACAGACAGGCGGGGGATCCAGACCCATCAGCCATAGGTGAAAATCCGCGATATAGAAAGACCATATACATAAACTTTTTTATAGTTTAAGCCTTAAAATATATAGTGATCCCCCGCCCATCGCGGAAGTTACGTTCCAGACCCATCAGTGATAGGTGAAAATCCGCGATATAGAAAGACCATATACATAAACTTTTTTTTATAGTTTACGCCTTAAAATATATAGTGATCCCCCGCCTATCGCGGAAATTACATTCCAGACCCATCAGCGATAATAAAAACAACCGGAAACAGCTGATAAACACGGGGAATTCACACGGGGTTAACGAGGGGGCGTGGCACACAGGAGGAGCGGACGAGCGGGGCAGGACATACTGCACTTTTAATCAGATTTTTTAGATTTTCTAAGCAATTTTTATTCAAATAAGTTTTTTTCATCTCTATTTTGCTTTTTTTTGTCTTGGTTTAACTTTTTAAAATCTTGTTTTTATAAAGCATATTAAATAACCCCTGTGTATGATAATAAAAACTTGCCTTGCCTTACCATAAGAAGACCGAGAAACGTTCTCCTCAAGACCACACGAACAACTAAGAACTATATGCTGGAAACTAAGACATTCACAAGGTAACTCCATGAAAAGCTCTCTAAAAGTAGAAATGTGTTTATTTTATGATAAGAACGTGAGCCATCTGGCTAGTAGTTGCCTTTTAACTGAAAAAATTCACTCCAGTCATCAGAGAAAAAAGTTACTAACGCACTACATCAAAACATTTACATTGCAATAATGTATGGCATGAAATAAATTATTTTAATTTAGTCGTTCTTGTTGCAGTAGATAAATGAGAATTTGTTTTTAATAAATTAATTTTAAGATAATTACATTTTGCGGGAGTAATTCTTTTCTCCCGCAACCCGCACATACATGAGGACCTTACCGGCCGCACCCGCATTCACCCATCAAATCTTGTCCCGCGCCGCACTCAGTTTCTACGTTGCCGTGGTGACAAGCAGGCGGCGGGAATGCAGCGATTGGGGTGTCGACTTACAGGTAGGAAAATCCATTCATTTGTGTTGTTCGGGACCGCGATTTAGGTGACGACTAAGGGAATTTGACGACTTACAAGCGGCGAGTTACACAAGGAATTTTAAAGGAAACATCATTAGGAAAAATCGGGACTTTTGCTTGAGCGTCGACTTGTGCACATTGACGAGTTACAAGCCGGCGACTTAGACCAGTTTTACTGTATATCATTCAGTAATACAAATAATAAAACATACCGTTCACATTGGCCTCAAGAACTAAGTTAGCGCTTGATTCCCCTGCACTTCCTGTTGTGGCTGAGCGTGCACCTGACGTCAGTGGCTGAAAGTGCACGTTCTGCAGCCAGACCCTTCTCAAACTGTTTGTTTGCCTAGCTGCAGTGATCACGCAATGGGATTTGTAGTTTTATTACCACGCAGACACCGGTGCAGACCAGAAAACACAACCAACGGATTAGTTTTACAGTTTTATTTTCTGCGGACAACGCTTTTTGGGTAAATTAAATTTAAGACCTAGGATGAAAATCTGGGCATTTTTAAGACATTTTAAGGCCTTAAATTTAACTTTCTGAATTTTAGACTTTTTAAGACCCCGTGGGAACCCTAGTGTGTGTTAACCAGCAGGAATGCATTCAGCGGCTATTGAGAGGAGGGGAGGGGCTGCGCTGTAATGCTGCTGTATGAATTGTGGTTAATGAGGCGAAAACCGCACTGTTGGTATCAATAATGGTCTAGTCAGATACTAATTATTAATATCGATTAGTATCTGAGAATCAATTTTTGACATCCCCAGTGTCTCATTTTCAACTCCAGCGTCAGCTATATCTTCCGTTTCTGATCTTTCGCGGGACATTTTTAGCGGTGCAGCAGTGAAAAAGGTCCACCCTTAAACAGTTTCTAGCTGCGCCACTTTCCAAACATTGTGTAGGCTATTTAAACTGGTATTGCTGTATAAGAAAAATTCATATCATAATAATAAAAAACGGTTTTCGGTATGAACCGGTATACCGCTCCGCACTAGTTAAAAGTATACACCGAAAACGCACATCAGCATGCACTTGCATGACCGGCACACTAACATGACACGCCGGCCCCTTACCCGGCCCCAGAGGGCTGCGATTGGCTGCGGGAGACGTGCCTCGCCTTTGTGTTCTCATACTCCAGCTGCTTGATCTGCGTCTCCAGCTTCAAGACCATCCTGACAGAGAGCAATACATGTCACCCCGCCAGTGACCCCGAAGGACAACCCATTAATAAGAAACTTGCGTAACCCGAGGGGTGATTCAAACTGCCCCATCACAAACGCTAAAGATGACGCAGTGTTAATTACATTCATCACTCTTCCTCAGCTCCAGGTTCTCCTGAGCTTCTCCAAGCTACCAACCCCAAAAAAGCAAATAAAATGGTTCAATTTCTTTTAAAAAGAAAAAGTTTTGCTGTACTTACCTCTTAAGTTCAGATTTATCTGCATTGGACTCAAACAGTCTTTCCTCAGTGGACACCAAACTCTCCTGGCAAAACAGGATGGTTCACATACAATTTCAAGGTTAAACACTAAAACTGTAACAATATATATTCAACAAACATTTATTGTTTTTTACCTTAGTTCTCTGGTGATCTCTGTCTAATGCCTCATAGTCTGCAAGGAGCTGAAAAATCAGCAATAATATTTGAGACCACAGCAGTGTACAGACAATACATGGATGTGGTGCTGATGCCCATGGGGCGTGACGGCCATCACCCACGTCCTGCAGCGCCTTGTGTTCCTTCCTCATCTGGGCATCCTGGTCATCGGCGTCCCTGCGGGTGGCTTGCAGGGCTTCCTCTGCCTGCAATAGTCTGGCCCGGAACCTGGCTGCGGAGGCCTCCTTCTCCCGTTCACTCAGTCGCGCCTCGTCCAGCCGCTGCTGAAGGGACCGGGCTGCGTCGCACGCTGCCTCGTACCGCGACGGCCAGTCCGTCTGGGGGGGGGAGACAGACAGCATTAGCACCCAGCCCTGTGGTCGTACCCCTCACTGCCCAGCACCAGCTCTAACACCAGGAGCAGCTCAAGCTCCATTTCCCTTCTACAATAAAATCTCATGACAAAACCTCACAAAAACACACAGCAAGATTTTACATTAACTGCACCTAAATAAATCAACATTCATAAGCAGCATGTAAGTAAACCTTAACATCCTAACATACCTTAACAGCTTTTATGTACATTGATAACAAATAGTATATGCTAGGATGGTAAGGTATACTTGCGTGCTCCTTATAAATGTTCTATGAAAACATTATGAAGGTGTACTGAATGTTCTATGAATGCATAACAAAGGCATTATGGAGGTGCAGTTAATGTAAAGCATTACCAAACATACTGTATCAGAGCTAGAATAACATGCTGAAGAGAAACCCATCATTTCATAATTACTTATGGTTAACTGTTAATTTAATTACTTGCACCTCATGTATATATTGAGAACCATTTTATTACTTATTTCTTTATTTTTATTATTATTATTACTTTATTCAGAATTTTTTATTTTTATTTATTTGTTCTATTTCTTTAACGTCTGGTTCTGTGTCTATGCAACACTGCTCTACGTGCTTCAAATTGCCCCTCGGGGACAAATAAAGTTTTTTGATTTGATTTTATTTGATAACAAGCACCGAAAGAGTGCTCAGTGTCCTTTAAACACAAGACTGGTGGTTCTTTTATATAGTCAAAGTAAGCCAAAGTACTGTTTATCTAGAACAACACAGGGTTCATTATGTGCCCTATCGGGCTAAGCCTCTGTGCCCGTGATCAGGTTGCCAGTTGGAGCCCAGTTTCGGCAGAATAGTCAAATGTCCGTAGGCCCCTTAACCTCCACATCCATGGACGCCGCAAGGTGGCTGCCCTTCACTATGCCCCCCAAGCATTCTGTGACCTCTAATGCAAAGAGAATTTCCCCACGGGGATTAATAAAGTATCACTATTATATAACACAGGAAGAACATGCTAAAAGAGCAGGGGTGGGATTTGTACCCCAAACCCTAGAGATGCGAGGCTATAGTACCGCTCACCAAGCTGGCCGCCAGATGATCAGCCCCACATTTAATACACCTTAAATGGAGTTGCAGTCTAAGGTACCCAAACCAGGAGCATGTAGTTACAAAAAAAGAGGTTGTCAGGCTTACCAGCTGCCGTTCCATAGAATGGTTCCTGCTCTCCAGTTCCTGGATGCGGGCACTGGCCTCTGTGAGGGCTCTCTCCAGGTGCTCACACCTGTCAAGCGAGCAGGGATGGGGGATGAGGCCCAAAATCACATGTTCAAACATACAACAAACTATATGCCCACAAAGCCCCTATGCATGCAGGCTCACCAGCTCTCCATTAACTGCTAACTACTAATTAGTTAAATGTGGGGAATTTCCACTGAGAGAAAACAATGTTGTGAAGCTATTTCTTCACTTCACTAAATGACCTACAAAAAACAAAAACAGTACTCCCAGGATTAAAAGATTTTTAGCAGAAAAACGCAAATCAACTGCAAATTGTGCCTGGCTTCCTTGTAGCGCATGAATATTGCTGGGGCAGATTCTTCAATGCAGGAGACAAAGAGCTGTTTGTGCAGCAGTAGCCCAGGTAATGTCGCCTTGCTTCCCTCATACCTGTCCAGCAAGCTCTGATTTGCTTTCTCCAAGTCCAAGCTAGAAGGCTGTTTTGCCAAGTCCAGTTTTCTCTGCAGGATGTTTAACTCAGACTCATAGTATGCCCGCAAGTTGGCAATATGACGTGAGGTTTTCTCCCGCATATTCTGCCTTACCCTGGGAAGGAGAGAGGGGAGCAAGGGACTGCTGAGGAACTGGTTAGGAACAAGAATCAAACAGATGTAAAGGTAAGGAGCTTGTGGGAACCAGTACTCAACAGAAGAATTACTGAAGAAGTGTTGAGTAACCATTAAACATGAGGAACAAGTGAAGAACTATTATCACACACAAATACAACCAATGAAGAACCATCAAAAAGACAAAGAAATCATCACACAGACAAGGAACTGATGAACAACCATTATCATACAGATGAAGAACCATAATCAAATAGATGAAGAACAGGTAAGGATCCTTTTCCACAGACAAGGAACCGATGAGGAACCATTATCACACAGACAAAGAACTGGTGAGGAAGACCAGAAAACTAGTTAAGGAGAATGAAACCAGTCACCCACTGAAGACTTGTTTCAAGTTAAATGGAGAAGCAGGATGGTCTTACAGAGACAGAACTACCGGGTCGTCCAGGGACCGGCCAGTGGCTGGACTAGGCTCCAGTGGGTCCATTTTGGAAGTAGGTGGGCCATTGCCAAGTCCATGGGAGCCATGGGGATGCACGGCAGAGGCAGCTTCCTTGTTTGTGGGCAGGACAGGGGATTGGCTGGTAGGTGTGACTCCGGAGAGGCTGCTGGTGCTAGAGCTGCTGTCTGTGTCCATGACGTCGTGGCTGGTGATGCCCTCTGCCATGGAGTCCGGGCTGACTGGGGTACCCGCGGGCTGATGGCCATGGGACTGGCCAGAGAATGGTAGTCCACTGAAGCATAATGGCGAAGTGAAGCCAGATGATCTACCCGAAGGCCACATGTACGCCTTGTTGAGGTCAAGGTTCAACACCTGCCATGGGAAGGCACCCAGAATTCATTTAAGGCTGTTTCACAGTAAGCCCATCGTGCAAACACCAAAAACAGCAGAAAGCATGCAGACAAGCATGTTGCCTTAACATTTCTCAACTGGCCAATTACTAAAATAGCTTACAAGGTGTTAGTGGACTGGCTGAAAAACAAACACCATCAACATGCCAATGAAGGAAACAAATTTATACATTTAAAAGACAAATCGAAGGAGAGAAGCAGGGATATAATCCAACAAAACCCAACAAAATAACTTTACAAAAGCAAAATCTTAACCTTCAAAAGGTCATGTTTCCACCCAGATGTACCTGAGCAGTGGTCGTGCTGGAGGCGGGAGAAATGCTCCAGTTGTGCCCTTTGGCGTCTTCTCTCTGGCGATTCCTGTAAATCTCCGTCAGCGAGATCGGGGGCCTCGGAGCCTCAGGTGGAGTCTGAAGAAGAGGAGGAGGAAAAGACAGTCAACTTGGCCGGCAGCGAGACTGCCTAGGGGAATGGGGTGGGTACTGGGTGAACATACCAGGCTTCTCGAGTTTTCCTGCCCCAGATGGAAAGTACCTCTGCCCAGGCTGTCAGGCAGAGGGTGATACAGCTCATGATCCTCCAGCCTCCAGTAGGTGAGACCTGGATTCCAACCAAGGGGACAAATGAAGTTAAAACATACAACTTCACAAGGCTCCACAAAACTGCTCCACATTCATGTAAAAAGTCGGTCTTCATACAGAAACGTGGATAGGGGTCCATGGAAACAGCTCAACATGCTATTATTAACTAAGGTTAAGTACTTAATTTACAATACAAATGTTAACGATTTACGCAGTGGAATTCCATATTTTTATGTTCCCAAAGAGATAAAATTATATTTTGGCTTGTAAGTCACTTTGAATGAAAACACCTGCCACAGAATATATAAACTAAAAATAAAACAAACTATTTTTGTCTCCCAAATATTTTTATGTTGTTCTAAATAGTTCAGAGACAAAAATAACAGGCAAAAACGACTTTCTCTGCACATGACAGCATCTAAGGCACTTTACCAGAAATTTCCGAAGCCAGGCTGTCACTGCGTCTCAGGTGAAAGGGCTGTGAGGCCTGTGCGGTGGGTCGATGCTGAAACCGGAGAGGCAAGATTCAGGCTCAAGCGGCGATGAGCCCAGCCACTGCCACGTTATCCCGACTCAGGGGCGGGGGCACAGTGAAGACCTTCCCACAGCATCCCCCCTCTCAGATTGCATTTGGGGCCTCATAAATCCCCATCCCAACCCTAAGTCGACCATGAGGCCTGGTTGGCAGAGTTACACACTGACTCAGCAGGACACGAGGTCACACTGCAAGCCCAGCCGGGGGAGCTTTAACAATTACACAGAGTGACGCACACACGCAGGTATAAACATGGCATGAACAAAGGTAGTCAGACCGTTCACGTTTTTGCTCCCTCCCAGCTCCCAAGACTGGAGCTCCCCGAGATGTAGTGCATCTGAACATGAACTAAACACAATGCTTGAGAAACTAGGTAGACACAGGCCTTTGACTGGGTTCCTGATCAAAGGATCCAGGTTTACCATGAACCTATGGATTGTGAGAGCTTCTGTGAGGTCCTCCGAGGTGTGAGGAAGTGAGCAAGTTGCACCTGTTACCTTTTATGCGTGCACGCATGTATGTATGCCAAGACATGATAACTCTGCAGTCTGGTTAAAGAGACAGACTGGTTGTCATGTTAACCAAGTAAACTGTGGCTTCTTGTGTCCACACGTGGATTAAATTATTTGTTCATAACAGACGTGTGTTAAGTTTGTATTGGTGTAAGCTGAAATGATCGATTTGCTGAAATTGTCCCCTCATAGTGAGTCATGAAGAGCAGACACACGTTGTGACCTGTGGGGTCTCATTCAGCTCGACACACCGGGACGCAGGAGATGAACTCACGTTGTGTGCCTCGTCTGTGCTTCCATCGTGGGTCGTCTGCTCCGGCCCGCCTAGCTGAGCCCCCTGAGCCGGTCCGCCCTGCCCCGCCCCGCCCTTCCACTGCCTGCGCCTCAGCTTCTGGGCCCAGGTGGTCAACAACGGGCTGAAAAATAAATCCCAAGCTTGGTTCAATGGACCACACAATTGGATCAGTCAAACTATTATTAAACAATACAATAAGTTAAGCTTTAATGAAAAGATCTGATGTGGAGACTTCAGACACCGGGTCCTTAGAAATTATAAAAATATTCGAACATTTTAAAAATATATAATATTTTTGGGTAAATTACCCTGCAGAGTGTGTCTGTTGTGAAACAATAAACAAAAAAATTAATGTTTTGTCTCTGTGAAAGAAATTGACAAACACCTGTGGGTTTCTGGCTGGTCAGCCAGGGGGCTGGGATTGGACAGGAGGGAGGCAGACGGCGTTCCCACAAGGGTGCCACCCTCCGCACCCAAGTCCTGCACGCGGGCAGAAGGTGAGAGCGCCGACCCAGGCCCGTCGTCGTCCCCTCCGCGAGCCCCACCGGCACCACCGGCCCCCGCGTCTTGCGTGAAACTGTGTTCCGAAGCAGACAGAGTGCCGTAGCCACTGCTCAGGAGTAATGTTGCCACTGTGCTCTCCGTGTGGGTGGGCCCCAAGTGCTTCGTCACACCCGGACAAGGGGAAGCCCCAGGGAGGCCACCGAGAAGGTCGAAGAGTGGGGACCCAGCCGGCGTGTGGGCCTGTGAAGCCTCAGTGGCGTGAGGCCCGGCCCGCTGGCTCTGCAGCTGGACTAGAGCCTTGATCTCATCCTGTATGAGCTGTGAAAAACACAGGGGTTTCAGATGGAGGCCACAGCCCTTGCCGCGGGCAGCAGCAACCCGACATGACAGCAGGCAGAAAGCAGGGCCCCCCCACAATCCAATGCAGGATTACAGCATACCCCAGAATTATCAAAAAACTGCTCTGAGAGTAAACCTAAATGTTCCTGTCATCAGAAATTTGGCTGACATAAGAATTATACAGGTCTGACATTTGATGGAGCCTTTGAAATCCCGACTGAGAAAAACAGGTCCAACTTTAAGTTGTTTATTGTGCTATGAAGAAAAAAACTGGATACGCTAAACACCTAAACCCTAATTATCACTACCCTTAATTCACTTAATTCTAAATTCTTGCAAAAGTACTTAATGAATAACCAAATAAAGGACATAACTTGAGTTAACCTGAATTTGGCACTGATACTGTTCATGCTGAGCAAGGATCTGCTCCTGGTATCGCTTCTCCACAAGCTGGAAGAGCTGTAACCATCTGCCCTGTTAGGGACAAAGAGAGAAAATGGCATTTGGCATAAACAAACAGCAAAAAAGGGGTCAGCTTCTGTTTTCAAAGCAAACTTCCTTCAGACACAGCCAATGGGAGACAGTCCTCATATGAGGCAGGGAGCTCTGTCTGTGGACAGATCATGGAGGGTTTTAAACACAGAAGAGCAGCTTATTTTTGTTCAGAATGAGACTGCTCACTGCCACCTGTAAAACATCTAGGAAAGGTTCTACATGTGCTTTAATTATTTTTAAACCAGGAGCAAAAGTGGAAGATTAGAACACAGTTCCCCCTGATATTAAAACTGTCAAATGGATGGACTTGCAAACATACATTAGGGTTTGGCGATGTCGACCAATTTGGCATCGTACGATGTCTAATGTGAAACATCGCGATGGACGATGGCATCGTCATCGTAGGCGGCGGGTTGGGGGGGGAGGAGGGATGGTTGTTGTTAAATAATTAATTCATAACGAAAAAATTAATTGTAGCCTACCGTTTCCACTACCTGACCCGCATGGTCTTTGTTTTACCCATAACCAAACCATAAATAAATAAAGATAAGTTACACACAAATTACCACCTGTCAATCACTTTTTTCGTGGGACTCTGGCATGAATAGGCAGAGTGATCTGTGTCGTTATAATGGCGTCGACAAACTTGGTTGGTAAAAAAGGTGCTGTTTTTGTATGCCTCATTTATTAATGTAAACGAACTAGTTTGTGTAATTCGTTTGGAGTTCACTGTAATTTGTATTGTGATCGCTAACAACTTCCTTGTTATTATTTCCTCATAATAATAATAATAAAATAAGTAAAGATGCGGAAATTGAAATCATGCATTTCATTTGGTTATATTGTGTGATTAAGTGTGTGTTTTTCGCGAGCTGGTTGCTGCTGCGGCGGGGGCGGGGCGGAGGATCGCGATGTTGGCTCAGCATCGTGATGTCTATCGGCCATCGGTGATGGACGATGGCATCGTCTATCGACCCAACCCTAACATACATGCCAGTTCACATAGAAATTTACTTTTTATTAATAACGTAATAAATACAAATCTCTGGATAATTCCACTAACATCACACATTAATGTTTAATGGAGACTGTTCCATACTGCAGTGTGGATTTGCATTTCTTCAGTGAAATCTAGACCAGCTCTGTAATCTGCACTAGAGATCCCACACTGCAGTCAGGACCAGTGTTCCAACACTCCATCCTAGATCAATCTGTACTTGTGCTCCAACACTGCAACCTAAATCACTCTCCAATCAAAATCAGTCTTCTGGACTTTTTCACAGGTGAAGAAGAAAGAAACGTGTCACCTCGCTGTCCTTCCACAGCTCTTGGCCAGTCTCCCCGCTGCTCTGGATCTCCTGCACCAGTGCTGTCAGTGTCTGCAGGGGACTGGGCTTGATGGCTGGCAAACTTTTTCCAGAGCTAAACTCATTGCCTGGACTGAGGCACAAACTCCTGCAACAGGCAATATGTATTCTATATATTTTTTACTGCCTGAAGCTTCTCATCAATCTATCACACCAATATGTGTAAGAGGTATTACCCTCCAACCTAAAATTTGAAGTTAGCATTAACTGGAATATAATAACAGATTAACATTTTGCTTCATTTTAATCATTTTCTTCACCAAAACTTTTTCTGGACCCATGAATGGCATGAGAGACAAAGATTACGAAGGTGTACAAACCTGCTCTTGTGTCCGCTATTGAATTTTGGCACTGAAGGATCCTGGCTCTTCACAACCCCAGTGGCAGCCTGGATGAACCCCTGCAGGGCTCGTACTGACTGTACGGGGGGATGCTCCTCCCCTGGACCAGCAAGTCCTGATGGGGAGTCCTCAAACGAGATGATGGAGGCCTCACTTTCCTTGCCACCACTCTCCTCCACACTGTCGTGGTCCAAAGCTCCAGAACTGGACACGTCCTCGGAGATGCTATCATCTGTGGACATCCTTAGGTGGCCTTGTTGCGGCGATGCATTTGATACCTGGAGGAAACTGGTTAGCCAGCTGATCTGACAGAAGGCAGGGACTGCATATTCATCTCTAGTAGTAAGTGATGTTTTCTGTCTCAATTTAAAAAACTCTTAAGGCAAAGCAACTTATACCATGTGCAATCGCCAGTAAACGGGTCAAGTCGGGAACAAAATCTGACGGCCGCGAAAATATAGGCGCCTCTCTGCGACAGTGATCACGGGACTGGAATAAACAGCAACGCGACAACATATCTGACAAACTGGCCATGGATCAGAAATTGAATCGCTCCCCTACAGAGAGCAAAATTCGCATAGCACATCATCTGTACTCAGACAGCGTGTCGTCAATCAGTTACATAAATAACGCTGCATAAGGAGATCAGTCCCCATCTGGACTGCGGGACCCTAGCCCCGGAACAGTCCATCATCTCGTGCAGCTGGTGCTTTCACCTACTTCTTTAAAACACAGCCAAACGTGCGCATTGGCTCATTGTCGCGCAAGTGCGTTGAAGGCCGACAGACAGTGTGTATAGACCGACTTACCCAGAGATTTGTCGCATAGCTGCAGCTATAAATTGTACGGCGGCAAAACACCTATGCCTACGTCTTTACCCCAGCATCCATCAACGGAAAAAATATCTTGCATTTTCGTATTGGCTGGCTTGATTCGGAAACGAAGAAGCTGATTGGTGAATTCGACAGATGTGCGACGCCCACCTGTACGAAGTGACCATCCAGACTGGCACTATGTGCCGAAAATAGGTGGTTAAAACACACAAACAGTTTTCCGATTGGCTATTTTCTCCCACAAAAGGCGGAAGTAACCTTGGAAGTACAAGTTGTAAGGTCGTAGTTCAACCAAAGAATTGAAAGCTTGGGGTTTACGTGTTAGTGTATTTAAGCCGAGTGCTTCGATTGTTTTGACATTTTCATATCTTGTGGAACTTAAATCGGAGACTAATTGAGCTGTTTATGTGGCGTATCATGATATTGCTACCCGCAGTCCTAGTTAGCTAGCTGACTCATGCCTCATATGTTGGTTGCATCCAGAAATGTCAATATAACTCCCTATAGCTATACCGATGACAACTAACTCAATAGTATATCACTGCTCCTAATGTGGAATATGACATAATGTGTACGCAGTATACATATGCATGTTACTAACACGCAAATTATGTGTCAATACTTAACTGGTTTTCTAGATATTTGAAATATAATATATTTGATAATTGTCTCAAAATCGCGTCCATAAGAAGACCATATGCCGTCGTATGTACTATCGCGACTTATCGTTATGGCCGGGCAAACACTGACATGGGAGCTAAAGTTTCCTGGGCGGCTCCTTTTATCTCCAGTATCGGTAGGTTTGCCGCGCATCCGAGCGGCTGGGAAAAAGGACCGCATTGATCTCGACAGCCTAAATGAAGAGCACTTGGAAGAGCAGTTCGTCAGAGGATCCGGGCCAGGGGGACAAGCAACTAACAAAACCTGTAACTGCGTGGTTCTTAAACACATCCCATCTGGCATTGTGGTGAAGGTGAATTTAAAATGCGATGGTCTACAGATTAATTCTACTAATGATTCTCATGTATTTTCAACTTAATTATTAAATTGTGATATGTGAAAATGACTATATAGGTTGCGAGTTGTTGTCATTGTCTTTTGAGTCATCTGAGTGTGGCTGTTGATCAACATTGTGATGTTTTAAATGTTAAGGTATTTTAATATTAATCTTTAATTTTAATTCTGATAAATAGCTAGAAGAATAACTTTGATTTCTCTGTTCAAGTGTCACCAGACCAGGTCTGTGGACATGAACAGGAAAAAGGCTCGGGAGATCATGCAGGAGAAGCTGGATATTTTCTACAAAGGTGAAGACAGTGGTGTCCTCAAACAGAGGAAGGAGCAGGAGTGGCGGAAGCTGGAGAAAAGGAAGAGGGCGAGGGAAACGTTGGAGAAGAAACGACTGTTTAAGGAGAACGTCCTAGCAGATTCCAAACAGGGGGAAGACACCAGATGACGTGTCTCCGGAATTTTTCCCTATTAGGCCAAATCTTATTATCTGTGCAGAGCACTTAGGCAGAGTGTAACAGCTTTGGATAGAGTGGACTAATGTGTTGTGACCATTTTTTTTACTTTGGCTGTAATATAAATATATCTGCAAAGGGTTATTAAACAGGACATTTTAAGACTGTAAGTAAAAATAAAGAAATGTCCAAAGCTCATAATGAATATTTGTTCTGATCACTTTGCAGAGACTAGATTGTCAGCATGTTTAAATTTGTCCCCATAGACCCACAGACCCAAAAAAGAGTACATATAATGATCTAAAATTAACAGTGATAGCTGAAGATGTTTGGTGTGTGGAGCCATTCCGGTCCCTAGGGGGATCTTCCCCTTCTGCTAATTAGCAAGGTACATAACATGACTAGCTTAACTAAAATACTCACCTAGGTAAAGTGAGTTTTAGTTAGCCTTTATTTAACTAGATTTTTTTCACAACCAAGCTAAAAACTACAGTAAAGTCAAATTGTCAGTAGAGTAAAAAGCATACTCAAAACAACACTCAAAAGATGTCCATGGGCCTTATAGTTTAATAACTTTAAATCCTTTTAAAGTGACCAAATCCATGAGTCTACTCTAATTTTGCAGGCATATTCCAAGCAGCAAGTGCAAAAAATAGAAAAACTTATTTTCTAAACTTAAGGTTTAAGGACAGACATAAGCACCAAATTTTATAAAGTCCCCTGTTTCTCAGGCCTAAAATGAGATACCAGAGTGGCTTTGTAAATAAAAATGTACTAATGAATAGTGTTGAAAGAGCAGGCCAAGCAACTGTAAGATCTCCATTTAATAATGAACCTCTAGTATTTAGCATATAGCATTTGGAGATAATGAGCTGATGTATTTATATACTTCACATTAACTGACTGGCAAAATTGTGGCTTTGACCAGTATTTGTCAAACATAAACTGAAAAGGAAGCTTTGTTCCAAATGTAAATGAATATTAAGCAAAAAAAAAACATCCACACTAGTCAAGCAACTCAATAATTGTCTCTTTGAAGGGTACAAGAGCCTGCCCCTTCCTGGGAATCAAACCAGTCATGTTTTGGTCATGATTTTCTGTGTAAAATAACTCCAGATTAAACACACTCATTCATCTGCATTGGAAAAAAAATCCCAGTACAGTTACTTTAATGAAAATAAGTTTTATTACACTGAGTAATAAATACATACAAAGATGCAAATCATTTTTATTACAACAGTTTATCCAAATCTGGTGTGGGATACAGTGTATTTGGCACTATCCTTCTTTTTTACTTGTTAACTACATTAGTGTGTTAAAAAGATCCAAATCAATCATTAAAATGTCCCATGCTACAGGCTTTTCCTGTAAATGTCATGCAGTTTCTATAATTATTTTGGGACATTACTACCTAACATGCATTTTTAACTTTTCATTTATACAAGCAGTTAAGAGATTCAGTCATTCCCAAATGGGAACACATATAAAACCAGGAGGTTCTTGTCAAGTATCTCTCCTATACTGGTATTCCGCATTCAGTTTACGCATTCCCTAGACCAAACATCAACATATTTTATTATTATTATTGTTATTTTATTATTACATTTTCTGGAAGCCGTTCCACAGCCCGGCACATGAATTGTTAAAGGGAAGGACATCCAAAGCTTCTGTAGCAGGGTGCTTAGGACCTGGCGTTTCTCTCTGTCTCTGCCAAGCATTCACGCACCAGTCCCCTGGCATGAATTATACCTTCAAAGGAAGTAAAAACGTGATTTTTTTTTTCAGAGATCTACTAATACAAAGAATGACCCAAATCAGGTTGAAACAGTGTGTGTCTTAAATGGTACATCTCTAAATAATAATTAAATATTAATAAAGAACTAAATTGCTTGAAAAGTTTGCATGTTTTGGTGGCTTTCACCCATAATCCAAAAATGTGATTATGAAAATTGACAGTGTGTCAGTGAGTGCATGTGCCCTGCAATTGACTGGAATCCAGTCCAGAACATTTAATAAAATGCATACAGCCTTAAATCAATAGTTAATAATGGTCTCTCTAGTGTAGAGTTGTTCAACCAAGTCCATGGGGACCCCCAGATAATCGACATTTTTGCTTCCTCCCAGCTCCCAACACACCTATACCAGGTATTCAGTGTTCTTTATTCTTCTCGCAGCTGGAAAGAAGCGAAAATGTGGCCTATCTGGAGGTCCTGGGGGACAGAGTTCAGACACCCTGCTCTAGTGTAATATATTAAAGTTGTTTTTTGGAAGATTACCTCTCTTTAGTCTTTCCATGGCACTTTTACTTCCAGCATATGTGGGTCTAATCTCTTTCCCCAGTTCTTCAATGATGGCTAATAATTCTGCATATTTGCTTTGAGGCACTTGGGTTCCACTAGTCCCCTGGAGCTAAATAAATAAATAGATACAGACAGACAAAAACTGTCAAATTTACTTTGTTAAGCACTGCATATGTTATTATACTTAACTGTATAAGGGTATATTTAGCATCGACATATACAAATTTTGTCATTGGCTTGCGGTACCTGGGAATATCCCAAAGATGGAGGTCCATAGTCATTCACTATTGGCCTGTAAGACTGCAGGGTTGCTAAGCTTGTTGATGGAGAGTGGATATTTCCAACTGAAAGAGAATACAAAAGGTGCACTCGCGTTACGTAAAAAATTGATCCCAGTTAATCTTGCGCCGACCGTTTTCTGACAGGCTTTTAATATACATGCATGGGCCGTGCACGCTGACTCTGTGCGTTAAGCGTGCATGTACCCCGTTGGCCCTTCAGCGTAATACGCAGTATTATGAGCACAGGGTGTAATAAGGGCTGTCTGACGCTAGGTGTCCTCAGAGGGTCAGAAATACGCGCTCCACATCCAGATCAATCATCGGGCTCAGGGAGACGATCATGGAGGAAACCGTACGGACCGAATTAAAAAGCCAAAGTGATACATTTTAAAAACGCATCTCGGCGCACCCGATTGACCCAAGCCGGCTAGCCGACAGCGCGAAATAACTTAAAACGGTGATTACATTTCCGTTTCCATTGCCGGCGAACGAGAAGGAAAAGGTTTTTATGACTAGTAATAATGGCGGATATGAATCAGCTCGCAGGATCTGACCCTATATATATAACTGGACAAAAACTACAGACAAGGGCTTTCCCCAGGTATTCATTACAACACCGAATTTTTGCATCCGACAAAACGCGGAAAATATTAAAAATACGCTCAAATTTCTTTCTTACCCTGATTCACGGAAGTTCCCGGAATGTGCTGGTGGAGATTGGGTTTGTAAGACATTCCCAGAGACATTATAAATTAAACAAATAAAAATGTCCTGAAATTCACTGAAGCGTCTCTGTCTCTCTCAGACACTTTTTGTTTACAGCAGAGCGGCACCGGCAAATATGGCCGTCACTTTATATTGACACCCACAATGCAATCTATCATCACAATGGTAAATTCATGGCATTTTGACCCAAAACGTGTTCGCACTATATATATACAAATAAAACACTTAAGTTTCGGAAAATAAACATTTTTAAAAGATTTTTGCGTCCATACATATAAAATTACCAACAATACGTGTTTTGTTTGATATACATATTTTGTTGATTTTAGTTTTTACATATTTTTTTTATTTTCACGTTTTCCCAGTTTTCCCAGAAAGGTACTGCGCACTGTCCAGATAACTTTACATCACTTTCCAGACATCCTGTTATGTGTAATATATATATATATATATATACATATACACACACATACACTCACATATATTTATATATATATAAATGTGTGTTTATGTATGCACATACACACCCATATGTATGTATATCTATGTGTACACGCACTTTTGAGCGCTCTCAAATCAATGAGAAGCATATTTTACTAACATGAATGTGATGGTTATTTCGAGAAATGTGTATATGACATATTAACATACAATATCTGGAATAAAAATGTACATATGACTAAGTCTAATAGAACCAGTACTTTTTCTCAAGTAGATGTTATTTTCTGTGAGTTGTTCAGTATTATTTTCGCCAGACGCTTAACGATATTTTAAAAGAAAAAATCATTAAAAAAAACTGATTGCCATGGTATAAAGGAATTCAAAGGTGGACTATTCGACCATCTGTTAGGCACAAGTCCATCATTTCTTTCCTGTAAACTAAATGTGTCGTATCGATAGTGCGATAATGACACTAGCACAGCCATGAGGGCTGCTTCTGCTTCTGATTTTTTAACAAAGAGGGATGTGTGCCACTTTTAACCTCTTCCTGTCGCGTAAATCTCCCCTCCCCCTTTCTTTATGCCCCATGACGATTCGTTGGACTTGCGTGCTAAATTTTTCCGCTGGAAGGGAGGGAGGGACACGACACGCAGCTCGTCAATGCCCGGCACTGTTACGGCTCCCTGGCTTTGCACGCCCGGTCGATGCGGCGCATTGTGCTTCCCAAATGTAACATATACCCCCCTACGAAGAGCTGACACCCGACAGCTTGGACTATCCGTCTATGCAAATCCATGAGGTTTAAATAAAATATACGCCTGGCAATTACTGAATGTGGTCACTGTGATTCTGAAACATTTGTGTGTCGGGTGCCCATAATATTAAATTCCACCACTTGCAGTTTTCCTTTTTAACTTGCTGTCGTTTGCTTTTTGCGTTTCTAACCTTTAAGCCAAATCACATTCAGAAACGAGGAACCGCCCAACCCCATAAACAAATACATATTCACGGCTTCAAATGAAATTTTAGCTTTTGAGAGAAGACAATCACGTTCAAAGAAGACACCCTATGAATGTGTTACAACCCATTTACAGTGTGTTCATAAGAGACTGAATATCGAGGAAAAATACATATAGTATGGACGTTTTTCTAGCATCTAATAAATTAAAATAGTGATTTTGTTCTCAAGGTTTATTGGTCATGTGCAAGATTTAAATACCTTGCTCTTGAAGAGATTTAAATTCTTTGTACAACAAATCAGTAGTGCAACTCGTGCAAGCATGAAATTACATTGCCCTCCATTGTTATAAACATCCATTTTAAGCAAAAGGGGGGAAAGGAAATGCAACTATACATTTTTTTACATCAATGCATCATTCCCGCATTAATCTATCCTATGAAGAGATTTACAGCATCTAAATCAAGATATTAGAAAGTCCTTTGCTCCAAC